TTTTTTCACTGTATTTGCTATCTATTTAAACAGGTCTTTAGGGAACCACCATAGAAAGCATGCCATCCTTTTGTCTCATTTCATATTTCTAGTTGAAATCATATGAAAATGTCCCCTTTGGGGAAAAGGTGACTCTTAAATTGTGTTTAACACCTTATGCAGAAGATCAGAAACCCTCACTCAGTTTCATTGCATTTCTGTCAGGGACAGCAAAGGTGGAGGCTGAAACTTGTCCCCTTGCTTATTTGTCAGCAACACCCAAGCCAACGTACATCAGGTACCAGGAACTAATATGGGAATAGAAATACAAGAAATGAAGGAGTGTTGTGGGTCCTTCAAACCCCAGAAACCACATTCTTGAGATCAGCCATGGGGATTGTATTTCTTTATTAGTTATGCACATGGCTTTACATGGTGTGTCCCCACATATTACATTTGCTACTGAGCCCCATGTGGGAATACGGTAACTCACATTTAGCTCTGTGGACCCTTGCATGGGGTAAATATCCCAAGGAAACATTGGGATGTAATAATCTTTTGGATCAAGCAGGGTGAAACGAGCAAGCTCTTTGCTGTGTCCTGGCATCCTGAGAGCAAATTGCAGAGAGCCACAGGACTTCTCTTCAGAACAGTGTTTTACCAAGACCCTACAGGGGATGCAATGTTCATCTCTCCTTGCCTGTGTGCTGAATGAGATGAGCTGCAGGTCCCCCATTTCCACACAGCAGTGGGTGTGGGGAGGTGTATATGATGTCTACATGCATGGTTTTTCATTTATGTATTTATTATTACTAGTTCAAATTTAGCTTTGAAAGGATTCAATTAACCCTGTGACTTCTGTCTAGCAGCGAGTGAATGACCTGTGTGTCTGCAGAGCTGGGCCATTGCCAGAGCCCTGAGGGTTTCCCATCTGCAGGAGGTGGTGTCCTCTCCATGCCTCTGGCTCTATGCAGTCCTTGCTCCTTCTTCAGAAGTGACACATGGAGACCTGAAGAGAGAACACTGGTTGCATTCAGGATTTAGGTGTGTAAGTGGTGCAGGCAGGTACTTAGTGGGGTTTCCAGGAACCTATCTGCAGAGGTATTTTCTGCAGCCCACCTGGCTCTCATTGACTCCCAATATGTCAGGGCCCTAGGGGGGAAGATTGGCCATAACAGCCCTGGCCAGGCCCAGCCAGGACCCCCACCCAGGCACCCTGCCCAGGAGCCCTGTTGCAGCTCAGCCCTGTTCCCCACATGAGCTACACTCCTCTGCCTCCCAGCTGCACATGGTGTAAGCCCAGATTGCAAACACATTGAAAAGAACAAGGGGGTTGGGGAGACACAGATGCTCACAAGCTGCGGGTTGACCCTGCCAGGCTTTTCTGGGGAGGAAACATCCCAAACATCACCCCTGTGCCCTGGCACTTTGCAGAGGGTGGAGCTCTCATCTTCCATCACTTTTGCTGCCACACACTTTCTTTCTAGGCAGGCAGCATCTCCTGTGTCACCCTTGTCCCAGACCTGCTTCCTCAGCTTAGATGTTGCACAAAAGCTTAATGGAAACACTTATGATCAAATCCCTTCCTTTGTAACAGACCTGATTTGGTTTTTACCTCCCATTAGCATAATTCATGCACTTATTAAGAGCCAACACGTGCTCCTTTGCTGCTGTACCAAGGCAGCATTAGGTTTCACTGTCTTAAGGACTTGGAAGTAATCTAAAATCTACTTGGCAAAAGACAAGGCTTGCTATCTGATTTGAGTGGGAAGAAGATTTAACACAAGGGGGGTTGGGAGGGGGTGTGTGTCTCCTTCCCAGCTGGCCTCTAAATCTAAGCATGCAAATCCCTCATTTGTCTGACCAGAGGGCATATTTTAAAAGCTTTGGGGTTTTTCTTTAATTGGTTTAAGAGCTTGGCTAATGCATAAGGTATAGCAAAAACCAGCTCTGTGTTACACATGATTCTGGGTTATCTCACCACTCTTTC